ACACACACACACACACACACACACACACACACACACACACACACACACACACACACACACACACACACACACACACACACACACACACACACACACACACACACACACACACACACACACACACACAACTCCCACACACACACACACACAGACACACAGACACACACAGACCACACACAAAAACACACACACACACACACACACACACACACACACACACACACACACACACACACACACACACACACACACACACACACACACTAACACTCACACACACACACACACACACACACACACACACACACACACACACACACACACACACACACACACACACACACACACACACACACTCACACACACACTCACACACACACACACACACACACACACACACACACACACACACACACACACACACACACACACACACACACACACACACACACACACACACACACACACACACACACACACACACACACACACACACACACACACACACACACACACACACACACACACACACTGTTGATTGTGGCACATGTGCATGTTCAATGGCCAGGCGCAGGAGAGATCCTTGCAGAGTCTTCAGGCGGGTGGCAAATGGCAGGGGATGTCCCTCGTGTGCGAGTCTCAAACATTGGGGCTGCGTCCTGGTGGTTTCCTCGGTTTTCGTATTGTGTTGAGGCACACCCAGAATATGGTAGGCCGGTTTCTTTGAAACCAGGCTTCGATTTATTGCACCCTCAAAGCCCAAAGCCCCCGCCGAAAAACGACGGCTGCGGCCAGCCGCCTAATGGACCCGCATCTCCAATTCCCCATGCGAGAGCATGAATTCCCGCCCTCAAAGACACCAGGGACGAAGACTGCCACATCTTGCCCTACCAGCACACCCTCCCCCTCAAATAAACTGCCAAAAACACGAAGCCTGCCTTCATGACGCTACTGTTCAGCCCTTCCATGAAGAAAAGCTCAGCCTTTGTCCCGCGATAGACCGTAGATCTGCATTGCCGTTCACTATCGGATCGGCATATGCCCAATGATCTGTGGCCATATTGGAGGGACGCAGGGGGAACTCACAACATGTGCCTACGCCCCATTCAGGATCTTAGCTCGAAAGTGACCGGGCCAAGGTACAGCATGAACAAATGCCCAGCCGACCAAGGACACCCTTTGTGTCGGGATTGACTTTAAGGGGCTTACCCAGCACTGGAGGTCTGGGTTCTTGAGACTGATTGGACCTCAAAGACTTGCCCTGAAACCAGAAGGTCGCTTGCTGTTGGGGTAATTCTTCGTTTAGGGACTGGAAAATCGGATCACGATCTCCCTGTGCGTTTGTCCTTTGCCTTTTCCAGACCTGACGCCGGGACCAGTGGAGTTGACCCGAGAGAGTTGCCGCGATTTTTGGCCGTTCGGCTCCAAATCCCGGCTCAGGGGTGTCGTCCTTGGCTGTATGAGCGTGAGTCACACTCCCCGAACCCAGACTTGAGCAGAGTGGCTTTTCTTGGGACGCCCATGTGGCTCAGTGCACCAGCGGCGCCTCTCGCCCGAAACCCGTTTTTGCTGGGCGGACCAGCTGATCCCTCGGTTCTTGAGAAAAGCCTCAGCTCGCGAGCCATGGATAGCCCGGACGGTGGCAGCGATGCGGGCGGAACCTTGGGCTGAGAAGTGGGGAGCAGAACGCTTTGGCGGGGAAGAGCAATGCTTGGTTTTCACTGCTCTTCCAGATTGGGGATGAATAGGGCCTTGCTGGTGGCCAGTGCTGATGTGGATTGCTTGTTTTTGTGGGTTGTAGCAAGTGTCGAACGAGTGACTTCCTGCAATTCGTTCCAAAATGAAGGGCATTCACCCACGGATTCAAATTTGTGTTTCAGGTTTGGACATGTTCTCCAAGGATCTGCCGATTTTCATGGCTTTTGGGCTGGCCGATCCAAACATAAAACGAGCTCGCTGTGACGTAGGACTTAGGATCATTTGCTCGCGTATCCAATTCTTATTTCGGGTTTGGGAGATATTGTGATATGTGTAGATTCTTTCCAACAATCCTTCTTTCCACCGAACCCAGATGTAAGGATGGATGTTTAAGACCGATGGTGGGGAAGGAAAGGGGAACTTAACCCCAAGAGGAATGAGGAATCGACCCCAGACACTCTGTTCGTTGGGTGCGGATCGAACCCTTCGTTTTTTTTTGGTATTCCCATGGCTTTTCATTCAAGTTTGTCTCGAAGCTGAGGGCCTCACAATCTAAGACCAGCCCCAAGGTTCGCCCATCAAAAAAGTGCCCAAAAAGCTGATCACATTGCATACCAGGTTCTACGCGCGAGCTGGAGTTCTGTTCTGGGTCCTTCAGGCCCTGTAGGCCGCCCGAACTCGCAAAAGATTGGCAGAGAAGCCAAGAGAGTGAGGTCTTTTGTGGCAGAATCCTTCAAGATACCGTAGCATATTTGTCGTCTCCAAGAGTTGTGACCAGACATGCGTGGTTTCTTTTTGGCCCCCGAAAAAGCCAAAGGCGGGTCTTGTTTTCTTAAACTACCTAATTTGGAGGTCTGCACACAAATGGAGTGATTCCGCTCTCGGTAGATTGTTGTTTCCGGGGAAATATAGGGAGCGCAGTTTGAATCCTGAAACTGGGCCTGGTTGCTTTCTTTGTTTTTGATCCGGCTTGTTCTGCAGCTCACTTACCCTGCAGATTGGCATGGGGTTCCCAAAAAACGACCTGGGGAGCACTCCAGAGCACCTGAGGGGGAACCATTTTGTGGCTAGGAATTTCCGCTGGGGCAGGCGCTTTACGCTTCTCGGCGCGTGCCTCCCAGGCAAAAAGAAGAAGAGCTCGCGCCCACTGCGCCTCGAATCGGCTTGGCTCGGTCTCGGAGAGCCATGTGCTTACCCAGGGGATCCCAGATACCAGCATAGGAAACTAGACATTTTCCTTGTGCGTGAAGTGTTTTTTTCCTTTTTCTCGACTACCTGTACAAGGAAGCTAGTTTTCGTGGATTCTAAACTTTTCAGAGACTTATGACGCAGCCACTCAGAGTTTCCCTTGTGGTCTCCTATTTCGGCGAGCATTGTTTGCCAAGTTCCGAACAGGACAGCCTGTCATTTTCAGGTCTTTGGGTTTCGGCATGCGAGTTTGGGTTTGGGGTTCCCATCCTGTATATTGAGCCTGCCTGAATGGTGTTGTGACACATGTTTTGGAGGTACAACCAAGCTTAGGGGCGTTTGCGCTCAGCCTTTAAGTGGGCCGTTTTCAACGGGATGCTCCATTCCAAGCGGAGCTTCCTTTTGAATGGTTGGTGATGTGTAAGTTGGACATTTGGAGCCAACACGGGTTTCGGAGTTGGAGGCTTTGGAGTCCTGTATGAGTCTCAAAAGCACATTGCGTGCACTCGGATGCATGTCCCCACAAGCAGGTTCCCCTGAGGTGTCGAAAGTGCCTGTGTTTCTTCCAAGAGGGGGAGGCACTAAAGATGGGATTCAGGCAGGCAACTCAAAATTGGTTTGGATTGGCGGGGTCCGAGCCCGCGGTTTTCTACTCACCACCAATCCGAACCGCTAAGGCTTGGTGCCCTTTTTGGTTTCCCTTTCCTTTGGCTTGCCAATTTTGGAAAGAGTGTCCACCTGGCTCAATGACGTATGGCTATGTGTGTGGTCTCAGCCAGTCTGGGGTTGGGGAGGGTGGTCAGGTCCTCCTTGTGGCAGTTTCGGACAACAAAAACGAGCCCACCCATGAAGCATCCCTTGGGGGATGGCTGATATCAGGTTGAGAGAGGGTCATTCGTGAAGGAATTTGTGGGCACCGCCCTATGCAACCGAGAACCAGAACAACTGGCTTCAACTCCAAGTGGCCCTTTTTGTGCAACTTTTGGATGGGTTCATAGGAAAATGGGGACCACCAACGACCTGCACGTTGGATTGCCTCTGCTTTTGAGACGAACGATGCATGGCTGGCATGGCGAAACCAGGGAAGGTTTCCGCCCCAGAAACGCGAATTCGGTTGAGATATGCAGTCCATGGTCCAATTTGGGAGAGAGATGGCACTCAGATGTCGACCTGCGAATTCATGCTCAGGTTCCTGAATCGGGACATTGTGATCAAGCGGCTCCACCGACGCCAGCAGAGCAAGAAGGCGCGACCAGAAAAAAACACTTTGCGGATGGAATTCCAGGAAATCAAGGGGACACGCCCGTCCTGTTTTCCGTTTCCCCTGTTCTCCATGTCCGGTCTTTGGTATTTGTATCCCCACTGCTTAGTCGGAGGAGTTGCAACTGACTTTTGGCCTGGAGGGTCAATAGTCACCTGGAAGCATTGGATCAGGCCGGTTTGGAAAGGAGAGGAGGGTCATCAACCGAAAAAGCGAAGCGTACGGAGCCTGTTTTGGGTCTCCATGTCAACCTCCAAGAAAGAGATCCTGGTGTTTTCTTGGTTCAAACATTGATGTGAGCCAAGGTCAACGTGCACTCTTGCCCTACTGGGCATTGGAAAACCAGTGAATCCAGTGAATCCCCTGGGTTGTTGTAGTTTCGGTTTCCTATAGCAGGGCTTTGACGCTATGTTCCCTTTTGAACATCAGCCCGCCAACAGAACGGTGAATTGACATTGGCTCGAAAGGTGTTGTTACTCTACCAAGAAAGATGGAACTGCAGAGGCCCCTTTGGACGAGGTCAGCAGTCCTCTTGGAAAGGGTTCCTGTGCAACACGCCATGTTCGTTGCTGGAGTGCCCGGATGGAAGCCGACATGAGGGAATTTGCACGTTTGCCCCTCGCTGAGAAGCAGAGGCTCGGATTGCCAGAAGTCTATGGTCAAGCTTAACTATTGGGGGACATGGGAGGCTGGCAACAGTTGCTGTGGGATCCAAGGGTACTACTTGGCCACCTTTGCTTTATTTTTGGGGATAAATCCAGTCAACCCTATAAAAAATCCGACCCCCCCATAGTCAAAGCAGGACGCGCGCAGAGAACGGGCGATCTCCGATGTCCCAGCAGTACTCCCCCGGGAACTCCCCGAGCGACGGATCTCGCGAAACCCGAAAGCGACACCCCCCAAGCCCGAAAGCTTTCGGGGCGCCCAGAGGCCAGTCCGATGGTCCTGCTGAAGGCCGGGAAGGGGAGGTCTGGATGTGGCACCCAGCCGTTTTTTTTTTGGGGGGGTAGCAGGTTGGATGTTTGGGATGTTTGGGGTTTGGGGGGTGGGGTGGGGTTTGGGGTGGGCGACCGTAGGTTTGTGTCTTAGTTGAGGCTACCACTTTCAGTTTTGGTGCAAAGGGAGCCAAGAGGAAGCCGAAATCCATTTTCGGGGGTGCACCATTTGACGCATCACAACCCCTGGGTTTGAAGTTTGGACTGGCGAGCTACTCCCAAAAGGCCCTCTGAAGACGTGCCCTTGGGTAGAGAGAAACAAAGGTGGGGTCAATCATGGGAGGGTGTCACACAGTTGGCTTCTCCTCCGCGTATGTCTGATGTCCAGCAAAGTGCCCGTTCCACGCCCTGTAGTCCAACCTGAGGCCTGTGATTCAAGTCTGGTTGGATTCCGACAAAGATCCCTTTCACCCATCCCAAGCTGATTTCTCTCCATTCAGACAACTGCTCCTAGGGTGGGGTGAGTGCAGCTCCACAGCCAGTCGAATCGAAAGGCTTGAGAATGCCGGGACCACCAAGTCCTGCTCTTTGGTCCCATGCAGGGTTTTCATGGAGGCACAACAGGAGTGTGTGGTTGGAAACACGAAGGGGTGGTCGACCCCACGGGTCTCTCTCGTTTTTATTTTTCCTTCTTCCCCTTCGCGGCTTGAGAGGGGGAGCGGCTTTTTACGGGGGGCTCTCGAGGACATCTTCGAGGAGACGGATGACAAGGACCGCTTCGTGGGCGACGTCATGTTCTGGAAGTTCTTCGAGGACCCTCGACCCGAGCCGATTGGACGGCACTCTGGCACTCCGGTTCCGCCCGGTGTGGCTCAGTTGATCATCCGTGCGGAGGGCTATGGAATTTCAGGTAAACACCGCAAAAGCGGTGGGTGGACATGAAACCCAACCCAAATGATGTCCACCAAAGGCCCAGATGAGCCATGAAGGTGAGGGATAGTGCCAACCATACATAGGTGCCGCCGCCCTTGCAAATCTTCACATGGTTTTGGGTCGACTGTTTTAGTACGAGGTTGAACAAACATCACTCAGAAGCAAACCATGAAAACTCCAGTGGATTCCGGGCAATTTCCAGGGGATAGAAGAGCTACCCCTGGAGTCGTTCCAGTTGAGACTTGGAGGGCGCGACTGTCTTGCGACTCCAGCTGATCAGGTTGGACAGTGTGTGGAACAGCTCGTAGCGTATCCGCAGATTTGTTTCGGTTTTTTCTCAATCCAAAAGGAAGTTGACCGCCCAGAGGGCCCTGGGAACGGACCCTCGGTCGATGGACAGTTCCCCTTGAGCGAAGCCAAGCCGTAGCACTCTGAGGGGGTTATCGGAAGCGATATCGCCACAATTTCATTTAATCATTTTTCTTTGTCATCTCATTTTCAGCTCACTCTTCGGACGCTTGTGAGGACATTGACGCGAACCGGATCTATCACACCAACTCTGTAGAGTACAGGAGCGCGGCGCCGTGCACTGGGCCTCGCGAGGCAGAGTTCCCAAAGCCTCGTAAAGTCCCCAGTGAAGCCCATGAGAGGCCCAAAAGTCCGAGTCGGTTTTGCCCCGAAGCGATGGGAATCAAATTCTTTCTGTTGGGAAAGTCGGACGTGGAGAGGATCTGTATATATATATATGTATGATCTGTAGATTATATATATATATATATATGGTCACCCCCCCCCCCCCCAGGGCCTACCTTTCTACCTTTTTGCATGAAAGAGATTTATTTGCAGATGTTCAGTGTCCACTTGGTTTGCAGATGCCTTGCAGAAAACACTGTAATTTAGAGTGTGTTTGTGCATTTTTTGATATTGTCTCAGATGTGCTTTCTGTACTTGATGCAAAACAGGATTGGAGAAAGCAACAGACACGAAAACGGAAAGCGTTTTCAGATGCAACTTTGTCAGTGTTGAAAACACTGCTATTTGCAGTGTTTTTTTTTTAAGGAAACTGCAAAACAGCACCTTTTTTATGGTTTCAGCCTCAAAACCTGCACAGGCTCAGAAAAATGCAACAAATCCAGACCTGGAAGCTCCAAAACCTGCACAGGCTCAAAAATGCAACAACAACCAAACCTGGAAGCTCCAAAAACCTGCAAAGGCTCAAAAATATGCAAAAAATGCAAAACCCAGATGCAATGTCAGAGGTCAGGGCTTGATTCGTCTGGATTTTTGCATTTTTTGCATTTGTTTGAGCCTGTGCAGGTTTTGGAGCCTTGGATGTTTAACACCTGCACAGGCTCAAAAAATGCAAAAAATCCAAACCTGGAAGCTCCAAACCCTGCACAGGCTCAAAAAACGCAAAAAATGCAAAACCCAGATGCAATGTCAGAGGTCAGAGCTTGATTGGTCTGGATTTTTGCATTTTTTGCATTTTTTGGAGCCTGTGCAGGTTTTGAGGCTTCCAGGTTTGGATTTTTTGCATTTTTTTGAGCCTGTGCAGGTTTTGGAGCCTTGGGTGCTTAAAACCTGCACAGGCTCAACAAAAATGCAAAAATCCAAACCTGGAAGCTCCAAAACCTGCACAGGCTAAAAAAAAGCAAAAAATCCAAACCTGGAAGCTTCAAAACCTGCACAGGCTCAAAAAATGCAAAAAATGCAAAACCCAGATGCAATGTCAGAGGTCAGGGCTTGATTGATGACACACACACACACAATCATCAACCTTTTAGGACCACATGCCCAAACCACATCAAACAAGGCCTCAAATGAGTGTCCTTTTCTTCCCAAACAACAGTCTCCACTTGCTACGCAATAAGCCTACAGAAGGTTTATAAACTTGCAGAAAAGTTTATAAACCTTATTGAGTGTTTGACGAGTTTCCCGCATCAAGGCAACAACACCCTACGAAGTGTTCATGGTATCGTTGAAGGAGGGGGGGGGGTGGTTGGTTGGAAGTCTTAGCAGTGAGGTGTGACTCAGCCAACTTTGTAAAGACTTCTCAGTACCCCCCCCCCCCTCCCCCCCCTGCCCTTGTTGCAAGGAAACCGTCAAACCCTTGACATGGTTTATAAACTGTCTTGAAAGTTTATAAACTCTTTGCTGTTGTTACTCAACATGACTTGTCACCCACAAAAAAAAGCAGCAACAGCACACTTCTTGCGTATATATGCTCACACCCCCTGTCCTGAAAAATAAGAGGGTTTTGTACATTTTGAAGTGGAAAGGTAGGCCCGGGGGGGGGGGGGGGTGAGCATATATATATATATTTCTGCACATATGAGTCTCTATATGTGAAGAGCCATGTGAAAGGAAGTTCTGACGTGTGGATTTGGCTTCCTGGTGATGAAAGCCGTGCGGCCGGCCGGAAGTGTCGTAAGCGACTAACAGGTCATAGGACGCGGGTTACTCAGACTGGCACGAACAGAGGAATGTTTCGCACGACAAAGAGGGTCTCCTATCATTTTTCCTTGGTGTGCGATTCTGTGATCCAAGACCCCAAAATTATTCGAAGGAACACGGAGGCATGTACCCTCTATGTCGTGGCAAATCCCATGAACCCCCGGATCCCGGCCATCCAGTGACCAACTCCCAGAAAGTGTAACCACTCTTTTGGCAAAAGCACCAGGGCTGGTTCAAACAAATTGCGAGCATCCCTGGGCCGCCATTTCAACATCCGCTGGGTCCCCTTTGACAGAAGGTGAAGCTTGGTTGCGGCATCGGACCTGCAAAATTGGCTGAACCCAGTTGTCCTACCTCTGAAATGAGGAGCCAAAAGGAGTCGTCAAAACCAAGGGATTCCCAACAGTGGGTGTTAGTTCAACTTGTATTGTTTACACACTTATTGCAACAGTTGAGCTTAGCCCAACCGCAGGAATCTCAAAGTGATGTTCTTTGAGACCCTCTTCTACCTGGTGTTGCTGCTGCTTGGTGCTGGAGATGTCCAATGCTTTCCGAGCGCCCGAAATCCCTGCTTGGTCATGTTGCTGGGGGTTATTGTCCATTCCGGCGCTGGTGGCCATCGGATTTCATTGAAGCGCACCTTGGAATTGCGACTTTGGGCTGGTGTCTGCTGGGAGTTACTGGGATCGTGACTTTGAATGTTTCTGGAAGTTATCCAAGTCAGCTGCGGTTCTTCCATTTTCAGTTCTCAGCCAGGGGGTGAATTTGACAATGGAAGAATGGGGCCACTGTCCATCCAAGGTTCTCGGTGACGCTCTATGCGTACAACTTGCAATCGCAGGACGGCTGTCGGTGGAGCGCGCTGTCGATTGGGGCTGGGCAATGGGCGAGCTCAGCGATTTCCCAACCACAGACCCGCATCCGACAGCAACGAGGAAGTAGGACACACTTGATACTGCTACGACTACTACTACGACGACTACTACTCGTACTACTAGTACTACAGTACTACCAGTACCAGTCCCAGTACTAGTACTGGTACTAGTACGAGTATCAGTACTACTACTACCACTACCACTACCACTACCACTACCACTACTACTACTACTACTACTACTACTACTACTACTACTACTACGAAAAGCTACTACGAAAAGCTACTACGAAAAGCACTGCCGATGGCCAATGGAGGTTTTTTCGAGGATGCTGGACATTTTTGGACTCCTATCCGAGAAAATCGGGGATGGCCGGAAGGTTCGTTCAAAGCTCTCGCTTGTCCAGCATGCCTTTGCACCGTTTCGCTTGGATGCTCCTTGTTCCAAAAGGAGTAATGTGTATAGGGCATCAAGGGAAAGTTGCACTTTGCCGCTGCACAAAGTCAAGCTGCTGTATTTGCACACATTACTTTCCTTTGCCCTGGTTTCTTGCACATGTAGTTTCCCCTTTGCAGGCAAAGATCGTCACAGCTGAATAATACATTTATATATACATGTATTTATGTATATACAGATATGTATATATATATACACATATATATATATGTATATATACAAAGGTATGTATTTATAACGTCATATAGCTGGATTTGTTTGCATATATCTATGTATGGTTATGTAGCCATAGAGAAAAAGCACACATCAACAAGCAGACAAGCAGATCAACTAACAATATGTGTGTATATATATATATATATATATATATATATACATATATTTGTATATACATTCAAGTCATTTTGTTTTTAAACGACATATATACAGCTACATATATATATATATATATATGTGAACACACACACGCACAGTTTTGCGCCGTCAAGCCATGCTGGCGAGGACGTCTTTGAGAGCCGCATCGAGCAGCTGGATTACTGGCGGGGCTGCGACACCGACGGGAACTGCCGCATCCAGAAGGCCCGGGGCTTCGGTGGGGTGTGGGGTGGGGTGGGGGGTGGGGGGGGTGGGGGGTGGTGCCGGGGGGGGTGGGGTGGGGTGGGTTTGGTGTTTGTTTTTGGTGGTTGTCCTGCAAAGCCACAACAAAAGGGGCACACCTCAAAGAAAAGACACCCGAGCGGAGGGCTGCTAGGGGTTTGGTTTTGGTTTTGGGGCGGGGGTTCACTCATGGTTCAGAGCCGATGGTAGGGGGCCATTGGAAGGTCTTTGATGGCCTGACTCTTGGGAGGATGTGGCTTCCCTTTTAGCTCTGAATGAGTATTTGTAGTGAACCCCGTCACGCCTACCGTTGCTCCGTGCCAGAATCAGTACTCACATGCTTCCGAAAACCATGGTCCAAAATGTATATACACCTGGACAAAGCAAAAGCGCATCTGCGGCTGAGCTCAGCCGAGGAAATCTTCAGATCCTGGGAATCCCGGTGAAGAATTGCCAAGGATGAATTGATGGAGAGGTATCTCCACTCTCCACGCTAGCTCTGTGGAAACGAGGTGCCAGTTTTCTAGCGACCGAACTGAGCTTTCCGCGGGATGTTGTTGCATGCCTGTGGACCGGGATGCCTTTTGTGGTGCCACCATTGCCTTGTTGGCAGATCCAGAGGCTGGAGGTCGTTCCGGCATTTGCGGCCTTCAGATACAGGAATCAACGCAGATGCGTGGGGAAAACGGAGTCGCCATCTTTTAGATGGAGTGGCAAGCAGGTCCAGGCATTCGTCACCTGCCGCCCACCGAAGGCTTGTTGCCGCGTTCGATTCAGGTGGTTTTCCAGATCCCAACCCCTCCCGAAACCCAGCGTAAGCTCTTGTTTTCTCCCAGATAAGGCCCAACAGAAAGAGGCCAACTCCACTTGCCCAAAGTAAGGGGAAACCGCTATGAGAGGACCCTTCAAGAATATACACCCGCCACAGATCACGTAGGATCCGGTTGTGAGAGAGTGTTCCGAGAGGCTTTGTGAACATACATCAGATCCAGTCACTAGCAATACCCTCACGGCCCTGAAGCAGCATGAAGGCGTGCTCTCTAATAAGAATCAAGCTGAATCACTCTTGGTATTCTCCTGATAGTTTTCTCATGTCAACAGTTTTGCTTTGGGTTGGCGGTCTGGGTTTGGACCCGCCGTTTCTTGAGGGAAAAGGGGAACGTCCCCCTAACCATAAATCCTATCCACAAGTCCGGAAACCAAAGCCACCGAAGCACGAATACTTACGTTCGCCAGCCGCCGCAGATCCACACCCCCGACATATTTTTTCCGGAGAGTGGTGTTTGCGCTCCTGCAGGTGGAAAACGTCGCGAGCTTTTGGACGTGGATGACGCCGCTTGGCCAAACAAACGAGCTGCGCCGCAAAAAGGGGAAGCCATCAACCAATTTTTTGGGGTCATTTTGAAGGGAAACCAAAGGGACACCCCGACTTGGAGACACAAAACAGTTCTGGAAGTTACATACCAAACAGAAACTACACTTGAATAGACAGGCTGTCTTCAAGCATCAAATCTGTCAACATGAGTCGGGGTTGAAGACTCCCATGCGAGCCCCCCTTCAGGGCATGTATTTTGAATCGACACCAACAAAACACTTAGAAGGATAATTTGCTCTGATTTGGATTCTCCATGCAAAAAGGGCAAGTGCTTATCCTTCAAGCCTCATCCTACTTGACATCACTGGCATCGCCCGCATCACGCGCATCACCAGCATCATCGGTATGCCCCCACAATACTAGCACCACCCTCTTCAACCGCATGATGCGCATGACCCGCATGACAAGTTCTCTTTGAATTGGGCGAGCCAAAATGTCACTTCTCCTCTGATCACCTGCATCTTGTACATCACACGTACCATATTCAAGGCCGCCGTTTTCTGCATTCTCAGCATTCCCTCGGCTTTCAATGCTTGGACTGGAGCCGGCTCAGAGGGTCAGGATCAGCTTTGGATGTTCTTCAAATTGCACAAGTTATGATGAGCTCACCGAGCCGGAGGTACCTAGAACCGACCCCTCCGGAGCTTCACCCAGGAAACTGCCGTTTTGTTTCTTCTTCTTTTTCTTTTCCGCCCCTCCTCAGCAAACCCTTTGGCAGTCCCCGGCTT